TCTCAAATGCGCAGTTGATATTATGTTTATTTCATACCCTGAAAGCATTTAGAATGAATATTACCACAGAAAAAATGAACATAAATTCGACACAAAGGGATACTTGTTTAAAAATTCTGCAAAAACTAGCGTATTCTAGAAATAAATCAGAGTACGACAAAAATTATAAAGAACTTCTTGACTTAAATTATGAAAAAGTTACAAATTACTACAACAATAACTGGCATGATATTGAAGAGGAATGGGTGGAGGGTTTTAAAAAGCAGTATGTAACTTATAATGTAACTACAACGAATCACTTAGAGTCATTGAACAACAAAATTAAACAAGTTGTGGATAAAATGAGTGATATAAAAACATTCTACAAACAATTATTTATTGTGTTAGAAATAGTAAGAGAAGAATTAAAGATAGAAGCAATTCAGATGGCGACAAAAAAAGTAGTTCATCATTGTGAAGAAAATTCTCCCGAAAGTAAATATGTATATCAGTTTATTAACACCATATGCATTTGACTTTGTAGTGAAACATATCACTTATTCCAAAAATATAACTAATATAAAACCAGAATATGAAACGACTTCAACATCTTGTAATTGTAATTTTAGAATAAATATGAGGCTACCATGTTCTCATATTTTTTACAAAAAGTCTCTGAATAATGAGAATCTTTTTGATGAAGCAACCAAGATTTCATTTTTGATTTTTTACGGCTAAACCTTCAAATATTAGGGACGATGTCTATTCGTATATGGATACCTTGAACATGGAACTTTTTTTTTTGACGTTGTGGAATACAGGGTGTTCCATTGAAAATGCTAGAGAATTTCGATGTTGAAAAACTGATTTTTTTTACTCGCCCTGTATGAATTTCAAAACAATTGCAACCTACTAGAAAAAACTTCAGGCCAAGAGAAATCGAATGGCGCAAACCGCAGGACGCTAGCACACCTGGTTTAAAAGTTTTAAGCAGTTAAAATGGGTCACTCTCGGCTGGGACACCTTGTATATATATATAAATAAATCCAGATGTCTTGAGCTATTATTATTATTAAAAAAAAATAACACGAGATTTGGGAAGGTATTTTCACGGTTTTTCCTATAAATATTGAAAATACACCAAGAGATAGTATATCAGACCGTATATCGTTGAAATCAAGTTGAAGGGGACTAACAAATAAGGACACATTATACATGGACTTCAATTTAAAAAAATACAACTTTGCTCTGCCACACTATTTTGATGCACCATTTATGCTTAAAACTGATCTAGTTGAGAACTTTTGACAATTTGTTTAAACATTTGTATCTGATACTTCTGTCCAAAACGTCAAATAAAAGAGTTAGGAGGGGGTGAAATTTATAATAGATCACTCTGTACAGGGTGTCGCGTTTTCGTTGTACAATGTTGTCATTTCATTTTGACAACATTTTGAACTGTCATAATTTCTTTATTTTTGAAGTTAAGTATATGAATAAATAAAAAAATAAACTGTAAAGTTGTTTTCCAAGTTTCAGATAGGATAGACAAAAAAACAAATGACCAATATATTTCGACACTTATTCACACGAATAGCATTTTTTCCAATGAAACACCCAGTAAATTTCGTTTGATATGTTTCATTCTGATTGCAATATAAGCATTACAATAATAATTGAATACAATTTACATGCAGAAATGTTTTATTTATTCTAATTGAAAATATTGACTACCTACCTACCTTTGTAGGTAATCTGAGTAGCCCTTTTTGTTCTTCAGATTCAGGTGTTTTTCAAAATGTTGCATTTTGGGACACCCCTTGTATTTCGGATCTATCATAACTTATCGAAAAGATGATATACGCTTCTTATAGATCTTCTTACATAGATTCTAGTGACAGAGTTACTTTTTTTCTAGAAGTAATAGTTTTTAAACTATGAGCCAAACATACGTTTTTTTAAATAAGACACCCTGTATATTGTTAACTCATTAGATGAATTGTCTAGGGTGCACCCTCTCTGGGAGGGGTGACTTCCACCCCTCTTTTTTAGATAGGGAAGATGGGTTGAGTAGTACCTTGTTTCAAAGGTATTTTGATTCTCGTCACAACTGTGTACTTTTTTTAAAAATCGAATGATTAGCTCTCAAGATATTTACTGTCAAAGTTGCCATAGGCTAAATAAGAAACAATCTTCTGGCCCTGTTATTCTCAAGGTGGGAATAGACCAAGCAAACATTGCTGTGCAACAGTTGAACAACAGTCGAACAACACAGTGTGTACGTGTTGCGCAACAGTTGCGCAGCTGTTGCCGATCTGTTGCGCGGTGTTCGCTCCCGAGGCGGTACATCAAAGGGATGTTGTCTAACAGTGCGCACACAGCGTCACTAGTGTAGACGTGCATACAGTATAATTTTATTTTCGCAGAAAAATAATGAGTGTGTAGTTCATTTCAAGCAGTGTCACGACTCGTATTCTAAGAGTTTTCATCCGTTATTAAAATGTTTCACAACTGGATTGAAGTTGTTGAACTAACCCAAACTCTGATGTTGATAGATCTTGTAAGAGGTTTTCCGAATATATGGAATCCAGAAAATGAGACCTATAAGGACAAAAACAAACGTACTGACGCATTCAAGAACATAGCTGAACCTCTAAGGTTTTCGCGGGATGAATGTGAGTGAAAATGGAAAGTTCTGCAAAATCAATTTAGACGAGAATGTGTTAAAAGTGTCACAAACTCCGGCCAAGGAACAAATCAATTGTACGTCTCTCATTGGTTCGAATAAAAACATTTAATGTTATTAAAAGACAAGACGGAATTATAGTACCAATTAACTGCTTCGATATGCGAAAAAGGTACATTTGACTGACATACGAATCTCTTGTGGCTAAAAACCGTAAAGTTACCAATAATCTTGTCTTGACACATATTGGTTCTCGATAGTTTGTATGTTTGGTCTATTCCCACCTTCAAATTAACACTTTCGTGACTTTACTTTGGGACACGTCAATTTTAATTTCATCGGAAGCACAGAAAAAAAGAATATTGACGTGTCCAAGAGGAAAGTCAGGGATGTGTTAATTTGAGAATAACAGGGCCAGAAGATTGTTCCCTATTTGGCCCATGGCAACTTTGACAGTGAATATATTGAGAACGAAACATTCGATTTACAATTCACCACTCGACCCATCTTCCCAATCTAAAAAAGAGGGGTAAAAGTCACCCCATTCAGGAGGTGCACTCCAGCGAAATACCAATGGGGTCAAAAAGTTTCCCCCTTAAATACAAAATTGACGTGTCCGAGCGTTTTTTTAAATCGACCTCAAAATACCCCAAAACCAGTTGGATGTTCGTGAAACACCCTGTATACAGGGTGCCTCATTTGAAAAAAAAAACGTATGTTTGGTTCATACTTCGAAAACTATCTTTTCTATAGAAAGACTGACTGCGCCACTGGAATCTACTTAGAAAGATCTATAAGAACCCGTTATCACCTTTTCGGTTAGTTATGAGAGAAACGAGATACAACGGGTGTCCTAAAATGCAACATTTTCAAAAACACCTATGAAAAACACCTTGTATGTGAAATGAAAAACAAAAAAAAAAAAAAACTGACAATTTTGTTGACGGCATCTTTTGTTTGACAAATAAGTAACCAACGTTCGCGAAAATCGCATCTTTCTAATTCCAAAAGCAACCAAGATATCCCTTATGTACAACTAAAATGGGACACCCTATAATGTACATATTGGAAAAGAAAAGTTACGAGACTTTAAATGAGTGCTCATATTGAGAAACACTCCCTGGCACCGTAAAGGTTTATTAGGATTTTGAAATGCGGTTATCCGCCATTGACCTGTCTCGCATAAATAGAAAAAGAGAGCTTCATTGTAATAAATACAAATAGGAAAGTAATAAAAGATGACATGCGCGCAACTCGTGGCTACATTGTAGCCAGATTGTATTGTTGCAGAACAAATAATGTACAAATGTAGACAATACAAATCGAACATTATAACATTAGAGAAGTGATGTAGCGTCAAGTGTTTTACAACGCCTTAAATCAGACAGAAGAAGAGCTTTAAAGTATAGTCCGTTGCATGGTTCTTGAGCTACGGCTACTGAATAGACAGAGGGGACAATGGGCCATTGCTGCGTTGTTATATCGATAATATTTAGTGATACATGAAAATTGCAATAAAATTTCCTTCATTTTCATGTAATGATAAATATTATTGATATGACAATGCAGCAATAGCCCATTGTTCCCTCTGTCTGTCTATTCAGTAGTCTTAGCACAAGAACCATGCAACGGACTATATATGTTAATGTCGTTTGCACTCTTATTTTGATTGTTTCATCCGGCAACATCGCACAATGAAATGGCAGCAAATATCCAGTTAAGTTCTCAAAAATTTTGTAGAGGGCGCGAGTGAACTTGGAGTGCTTCAAATTTTGGCGGTAAATGTCAATAGTTTTAAACCGTTTACATTGAGTAGAAGGAAACAATATGAACAATGGACAATGAATAAGTTAAAATATCTTCCAAAGCATTCAGTGGCCCTTAGAGAATATTTTTAAAAATGTCAGCGTCAGCTTGTGTTGAAACCACACATCAGACTTAACTTTTGAGGTTAAAATTACAATCAATTATTTACGCGCCAAAATTTGAATAGCTCCAAATACAGAAGCGCCCTCTTCAACTCAACTGTCAATATTACATGCCACCTTAAACGACACTGCGGTGAGTTCAAGTAATACGTAAAGTATTAGTTTGCTCTTTGTCCAATTACACATTACAAAGAAAGAAGGAACGATTACTTCTGAACTCGCCCCTGAATAGAAATAAATAAAGAAATATGATGTAAGCCCGTAACAAACTTCACTTTCTCACCTGCCTGTCACAGGCTGCGCGCGCCGATTCAGGGAAGGGGATTCTCATCCTCTAGTCGCAACCTATCGTCCCGACTCACTCGTAGAAAGGCAATGGGATAGTCGGGACGATAGGTTGCGACTAGAGGATGAGAATCCCCTACCAGGTATTACGAGACAGGTCAATGGCAGCAAATATTCAGTTAAGTTCCCCAAAATTTTGTAGAGGTCGCGAGTGAACTTGGAGTGCTTTCAATTTTGGTGGTAAATGTCAATAGTTAAACTGTTTAAATGAGTAGAAGGAAAGATGACTGAATATAAACAATAGACAGTAAATAAGTTAAAATATCTCCTAAAATGTTCAGTGGCTCTTAGGGAATATTTTTAAAAGTATCAGCACAGCATATACAAAAACAATCAGCAGGCTAACTTGAGTGACAGCCCGTGTAATATAGGAATTCATGTCGAAAAGTCACTAGCAGCCATTTTGGGATAAGAAACAGGGCCTGATTAACGATAATTTAGGTTTTTTCTTTCGTGTCACAGAGTCGTATTGGCTTTAAATAAACTGATTTATTATTAGTTACATAGTTACATATAAATAATATTTATAATTACTAATTTATTATTATTATTATTAAATATACAACAATGATAACAGATAAAACTATAAATGACAACACGAATATACTAAAATCACTTCGAAAATCATAACTAAAATTTTGTTCTACACCACACGCCTATGACCTCCGTCAGAAATAGACAAATGTAATCAAACTTCGGCGCCGCTGCCGTTTAATGACAGGATGGTATCCCCTAATGGCGGCATGCGCAGAAAAGATGCGAGTGAGAGTTAGCCTGCTAATTGTTTTTGTATATGCTGTGGTATCAGCGTCAGCTTGTCTTGAAACCACACGTCAAACTAAACTTTCGAGTTTAAAAATTACACTCAATTATTCTCGGGCCAAAATTTAAAGAGCTCCATGTACAGTAACTCCCTCTACAACTCAACTGTCAACATTACATGCCATTGTCTCGAAAAACCTGGCACCAGGAACAACAAGTGTTTCCTATTAAAATTTTGTAGTGACATTCCTATTTAATTTTTTTGTTAGGTTTAACCGATGACGGTTTAACAAATAAATTTTAGTATATTCAGCATTTTCCAGACTAAAGCCTAGTACTCATAACTGCGAAATTCGCATTTTTTTGACATTGCTTCGACAATTTGACGTTTGAAACACGCATGAAACGTCAACTTGTCAACGCAATGTCAAAAAAATGCGAATTTCGCAGTTATGAGTACTAGGCTTAAGTCAATAAATATTTCATTCATTTTGTTTCGCACCATTTCTTCCAATGACATCGTCAATGACATTCTCCAAATATTTGGGACAGGTGGCATGTAACCTCCACTCATTTGATTTCTGACTATGTAGTATAAACAAAAAAATTATGATTCAATCAGTAGGTTTTGTATAAAATTCTGGTATATTACAGACTGCAGAGGTAAAATATCGGAAAAGTTCCGTTCTGCGGAAGGCCCTGGGTTACTGAAGTGTTTGGGGCAACCATCCAAATAGAATTTGGTAAAAAAACAAGGCCATTTCATAGCGCAAAGTTTAACACAACCTTGTAGATTTCGGGAGAGTCGTTTCGGCTTTTCAGCCGCTCAGCACTGTTACCTTTGCAGATATTTTGTGGGTTTCTTGAATGCATCTTTTTCAATGCTCCTAACTTTTTGAAGGAACCCTGTAGAATGTTTAAATGCTCGAGGTTTGTAAAGAAGTTCAAAACTATTACAACTATTCTGCCAACAGCTAATTTAACTGCTTAAATTGAGGTTATAGAAACTTGACACCAAAAAATCACCCGAATCCATTTAACACACCTGGACTCCAATGTGAAAACTTAATTGCACTACATTATAAGTACATATACATATTTTTAAGTACTTATTCCGATTAAGTTACAAATTTGTGTTCAAGTAAGTACCTACTGAATTAATTTTCGTTAAGTTCGTTTTGTCCTCCTAAGTTTTCAGTTTAATTAAAAATTATTCTAAAATACATTAATTTTATAAATAGTTGAACATTTTTAATTATGAGGTCTCTATGGGGTCGTAAAAAAGGGAAGTCTCAAAAATTTTATTGCTTAGTCGAGTATCTCAAAAACTAAAAAAAATATTTTGCTACTTCACTTTTACTAACTCTAAATTCACTAATACGTACATATAATTTTCAAGTTACTCATTACAGTTAATATAGGTAAACATTTAACATTAATAAAGTGCAACAAAAATCGCGCATAACATGCATTAAATACGCTAGTATTTATTTTAAAATAACTTCTGTGGCTTGTCCTTAACAGGCTAGCTGTAGAATTTAAGAATAATTTTGATTGATTGAAACCAAATTAGCAGGTCTCTAAATTATTTTCGACCAATCAAAAAACTTTCTAATTTTCAAATAACTACAGCTAGAACTTTTTCTTTACTTATTAACACCTTAAGTACAATAATTACTCAGGTCCGCTTCCTCAGAGGGGACCAAATCGTTTTGTTATGACTTTTTGGGCAAAAGTGACACTTCTTCGCTTCTTGAGTCAGTTTGCTCGTCATCCACTGGACTACTTTTCAGAGAGCCATTATTTACTTCACTGGCTTTGCTAACGCTCAAATGATTCGGTGGACTTGCATTGCTGAGGTGAGATGGACTTTTGGGACTCTGAATCATGTTCATCTGAAAAACCATTTATTAGAAAAATATAAATAGGTATATTTTGTGTACAAGTTCAAAGACAAAATTGTCTTTGTGCGTGTACCAAGTACGTAGTGTGCGCAAACTAGTCTTTTCCAGCACTGCCACTTTGAAATAGAATTAAACATAGGTATCCAAAAGTTTTCGTTTCTAATCTGTAAATGATCGTAAAAAAATAACTAAACTGCTGGACAAATGAACCGGAACAGCGAATTTTTAGTTTAACTTTGGATTCCAATATTACGCGAAGTAAAGAGGATATCAATGAGTGATTTACGTAATTTAGAACTTAATTTTCCCAAACCGCTCATTGATATCTTCCTAAGTTCGCGTAATATTGGAATTTGAAGTTAACCTAAAAATTCGCTTGTTCCGCTTCATTTGTCCAGCAGTTTATATAATCACTGTTTATCGTTAAAATCAAAGTAGCACATCAAAAGCGTTTGTTTCTACTTTCTGAATGCTATTAGAAAAAATAATGGTCCCAACGCGTGCGCAAAGTGTCTTTCACGCCTATAAAGCTAACCTCTCCACAGATAAACTCTCTATTAGTCAGGAAAAGGCAATTTCAAAACAAACAAACTCAAAAAGCACAAAGGACTTTTAAATAATCCAATAAATATTTTGGATTCTAAAATTATATTATTCTTCAAGAGAAAATTCATAAGTAATCGTTCTTTTTAGTGATAAAAAATGGAAAGGTTGCCAACCAAAAACCGCAAAAACCAATAAAGGACTTCAGAAAGAAGTCATTTGTGCCAAACAAAACCAAACATGTAAATAGTTAATTTATTTTTGAAATAAAAAATTAAATTCAAAGCAAATATCAAAACATTTCAATAATTATTAACCTTTAGCTATCACACTTCAAGTTAAATTTTAAACACTTGAAAAGTCTGCTTTAACATTGACGCTGAGCTAAGCCCATTGACCAATCCCTTTGCAAAATTTCTGGGGCAGATTTTCGAGACTAAAAAAAATATAAATCTTAAATTGGATGATTTTTAACGAGGGGTAAGCCGCAGGGGAATTTTGGTGTATAATCTTCAGGAATTAGTAAGAAATTAGTGGAGAATTAGAGGAATTATTGGGAAATTGGAGAAATGAAATTACTGGGGAATTAGACGGGAAATTCGGTGAATTACTAAGAGAATAGTGGAATTGATGGGGAATTACAGAAAGCAAATCAGTCAACGTTGCATCACATAGAACTACTAGGGCGTTTTCAAGTGTATCCAATGAAACACAAGGCGAGTTCAGTTAATCCTCCACGAGCTGAAAAATGACACTGTTGGCAGAAGCCCATGTGATCTTCAATATGAATTTTCAAGACTGATCAAGTGGGCCAGTTATCCTTTTGGTCGCTGAGGATTAATCGAATTCGACTTTAAATGCATTTCATCAATCGTTTTTGATTTTATCATTTTTCATGAAAGTACGATTAGCAATTTGCGATCGCATTCATCGCGTTTTGTTTAAGATGAACTGATGCATTTATGATAGATATGAAAAAAAATAAAATAATAATAATCAAACCTTTTCTCCATAAAAATATAGAACTGTATACAGTGAGTTCATAAAGTCCCGCATAAATTCATTATTTTGAATACGGTAGAATTTTTGAAAAATCGCTCAGACACGTCAATTTTGTTTTTTTGTTTGAAATTTTTTGATATATTTTTCATCACCCTGTATGAGGATTTATGTCTCAGAAATAGGTTCGCTGGTATCAACTTTATTTTTTTAAAGGTACCCCCTGTATTTTATGGCATTTCTGGATTCTGCGGAAAATTCTCGACATATTTCATGTATAATGTCATGATATTATGCGTTCACAATCCGATGTCCACAGGTAGGTATAGGTAAAATCACCTTTCAATGCTATTGGATAGGGAAAGGTGATACATTTACCTGCACCTATGGACATCGGATTGTTAACAGGATATACCTATCTTCAACTCTTTCGGAAATATTGACTATTGAAAATTGACTTTTTTGCAACTTTGACAGGCTGTAAAACCTAAACGGTAAATTTTAGAAGAAAACCGATTTTACATTCCTATCTTAGATTTGCATAAACTATCATTTGACACCAACTTTCAATTAAAGCGGAAATTAAATTCAACCGGAATTTTTATTCATGGATTAACTTCAAAGTTGATGTCAAATGATAGTTTTTCTATTTTGGTGTCATATCGAAGTCTTTTCAACACTAAAAGTAGTTTCGAAAAGAAGCTCTTTGTGACACTCCTTTTTTACTTATCGGAGGTTGGTAACACTGGCTGACTGATGGCCATCGAACTGTCATTCGCGATTTTAAAATAGAAGATTTCTATATTTGGCATGTAGTGTTACCAACCTAAACATATGAAATCAGGAAATATGAGAATAAAATTTCCAAGAAAAATTTGTTTTCTTTAATTAAACAATACCAAAATAGAAAAAATAGTATAAAATATTTGTTTCATAAGACATTTTATCGCACTCGCCCTTTAGAAAACTCGCCTCCGGCTCGTTTTCTAATATAGGGCTCGTGCGATAAAATGACGTCTTATGAAACTTGTATTTTAATGTACTATTATGAAAAACTAAGATAGGAATGTAAAATCGGTTTTGCTGTAAAATCAACCGTTCAAGTTTTAGAGACTGTCAAAGATGCAAAAAAGTCAATTTTCAACTGTCAATATTTCCGAAACAGGTAGATAGGTATATGACATTGTACAGGGTGATCCAGTATAAAGTGAACACCCCCTACCTTTTCGCTAAAAAAATTTTTTTTGAAAAAATCAAGATAGCCATTTAATGTATTTTGTTTCTAGGAATTTGAAGACGTTTTTTGAAATTTAATTAGATTTTTCGTTAAAGCGCTGTGACGACAAAAGTAATTTTTTTAAATGGAATAACCTATATTCAAATCAATTTTTCGAACGCCTCCATTTTCCTCATTTCAAATATATAGTTTGTTTATCTTTATTTCAGTAATTTGCGATATATTCTCACTTCAAAATTCCCATAAAAATAGCCGAAAAGGTATCATAGAACATAATGACCAGTAATTTTATTAAAGGTAAAATTATTTAGATTTACCTTGATAACTTCTTGGCTATTTCTATTTGAATCTTAGTAGTTCAAGAGCCCAGAGCCGCCAGACACAACTTATTTTCTGAAGGACAGAATATGTGGGATTGAGTAGCACTTATAGGTACTATGAACAGGGCCGGCCCTACCATAAGGCGAACGGAGTGAGCGCTCCAGGCGCCAGACCTCGAGGGGCGCTTTCACTCGTTCCTTGGTGATAAAAAAAGAGAAGAATATATTTTTGCTCTGAATCCTGTCTTCGCTTTTCGATAATCTGCTTACGAGCAAGCGTGTGGTTAGTACCTATGTGATAAGATAGAAAATAGACATATTATATGTAGATTAGTCAATATCCATACTCGCGCATATATAGGGTATTCCAATAAGAGGTTTTGAATGTTTTATTTTCCTACTCTTCTTGTCTCAAACTTTGTTTATATTATTCGGTTTTTATTTCATTGTGGAATTCAGTATAATTTCAGCAATGGAGCGCTACACGTACACGGTAGAACAACGTGTTTACATTGTTAAAACGTATTTTTTAAATGGGTCTTCTGAGAGAGTCACGTTTCGGCAAATTTGTGAATACTTAACGTGTACGCAATCGTCCGTCAGAAGTAACCATTCGTAAAGCGTAGATTGAAAACTACCGGATCTGTGCAAGATATCCAAACAAAAGTCCGGGAACGTCCTGCTCGTTCGATTGAAAATATTCAGGCGGTTCGTGAAAGTATGGCTCAAAATCCACAAATGTCTGTTGAAAGGCGCGCGCAATATATGGGTATCAGCAAAACTTCAACATGGCGAATTTTGAAAAAAGATTTAAGGCTACATCCTTACAAAATTCAACTAGCACAGGAGCTAAAGCCAACCGATCGTGAGCGACGCCGTGCATTTACCAATTATAGTGGACAACTTCATCAAAAGAATTGTGTGCTGCCAGAGAAGTCGTGGTGGTCATTTGGCAGATATTGTATTCCACAATTAATTGTACACTGTCCAGCTACGCACTGCCCTAAATAACTTTTAGGTATGTTATGAAACTTTTATTTCATTCGAAACCTCTTATTGGAATACCCTATACTTGATTCATACATAGGAAACTCATTTGCATTTTATTATTATTTATCGGTCATAAGCAGGAGCTGAAACTCAACCAGTAGGTTGGTTTGTACTAGCCCAATGCTCTGCTTATTCGTTTAAAATTAGGAATCCACAATCCACGTTTAACGATAAAATCCAAATTTATAGCAATGTTATTTTTGAAAATTATTTCATGGGCAAAAGGGTAACAAGGCAGAGGGTGAATAGGTATTGCGAATCAGGTATCTGCGGCCTGTCAGGTACCTTCTCGTCGAAATTTATTTCGCCTATACTATTATTTAGTGCCAATAGGAATCTACAAATTTTGTTTCAGCCCAATTCCTTATTGGAAAAAAATATATATTGCCGTATCCAGGACAAAATCAAATACGGTCCTGAACTCTGAACAGGGCTGTCATGAATTATTTTTCCCATTGGTTTCTCCAGTCTAAGGGGAATAGAGAACGTGGTCGAACAATACAGTAAAAGAGGCAGGTGAATTATTGAATTTTACGACATTTCTTGTATTGGTGGATAGAGTTATTAAAACCTATACGATTCACATTTGAATTGGGGGCGCCAAAGTCGGATCTCGCTCCATCCTAAAAGTAACCTCGGGCCGGCACTGACTATGAACGTATGTATACTCGTTAAGTTGGGTAGACGGCCAGTTGACTGTTATTTGTAAATAACGGTTTTTCCCATTATGGGAAAAACCTAATCCCATTTCTACTCTAGCCTGGAGTAGACTGTAAGTTTAAGAGGGGGAAATAGATATCTCGCTCACTCTCAAACGCATGCATAGTACCCTCGCGCTCATA